TTAAATGTAATAAGTAAATATTGGTACATTCTTGGAATTATATTCACTATTCTCTCTCTCTCTCCATATATATATATATATATATATATATATATATATATATATATATCAGATGTTTTGGTATGAGCTGACCATTGAATTTTGTCCAGTATCGTGTTTATCTAGCCTTTTAGATTGTATATATCATGTTGTAATGCGATTATTAGTCTAAGCTACTCGATATTAAGTGTACCATTTTGATATATTAAGGGTTTTGAGGTAACCTGTAGGGAATTTTTTTCGACCTATGTTTCGTTATAGCTAGTACACGTTAACGTGATGTGACTGTTGTCTTGAGGTAACTGATGGATCACGTAGAATTACGTTCCACTTCATTAAGTTTCGCAATCTGGAAATATACCTCTGAGTTATTCGGGCCACTATCTTTAAAAATACAATCGTCATTGGTACAGTTTTTTTTGGATCCTGTGATTTGACGTCAACTTTCATCATGAATAAGTTTTAAATGCTGTAATGATGGAAACGGTATCAATGTAATGTTTCATTAACTGGTTGATTTTTATTACAACGTTTGAATTCATTTTGAACTCATCACACCACTTAGATAAATGATTTGAATTGTGTCCTGTTGCTGAACGGTTAGAAAATGTAGGAAAAAATACATTCAGCATGATTCTAAATATTATGTTACTCAATACTATGGGATATTTACAGCTCATAAAAAAACAAACTTTTACAAAGACCCAGAACAATGTTATCTAGTGCCCCATTAAGTAGCATTATCACTGGGATTTTTAATCCATAACTGATTTCTGTAAGACTAAACCGCGAGCAGGAAATTTCAGTTATTTAGTAACTGTGATCATGTTGTTCAGTAAGTTATATGAACTCAAAATGTTATTATTGCAAACATGATGGCTGTTATATTCAAACTTGTTCATCATCAACATAACAGTTGATAAAATGAAGCATTTACATTAAATTCTTGAGTTGTTAACACCTATTGTCTTTCGCCAATTTTAAACTCAGATAACTATTGGTTTCCAAAAAAAATGATGTTGAAGATCATAAAAGTCACTTTGTCTAGTTCCTAATTTTAGTCGAATTCCGTTGATTAAATGTACAATGTTGTCACTTGGTTAAAGAACTAGATAAACAAAGTATACAGCAAGTCTTCATTGCATTCTTGAATAACAATAATCGATTAGCACTAAAAACTCGATATATTACTGATTGTTACTTAATAATCAATATTGGTGTAAATAATATAGATGTCTAATAATTCATCAATAGTGACTTTAATAGTGAAATTCTCAGATAACTAGTCAGAATCTAAACATCCATATCAACATTCATATATAAGTGAATCATATTATCTTCATCATATTACTATCTAAACTTTTTTTAATTAATGTGTTAATCAATCAGTTTCTTAGGTATGGAATATAATTTCATTGATCGAATAAATTAATTTGACTGGATACCAAGATTATGCAAAGAAAAAAGTAACTGGCGACATTATTGATGTTACCGCTTAATCTTAACACTAATTATATACAAGGATGACTAAGAACTAAGTATTTATAAACAAACTAGAGTTCAATCTTTTCGGTCTGAATGAATTATGTTAAACAATTTCCATCAAAATTAATTCGAATAAACAACAACAATAACAATACTTCAAAAGTGTTTATTGTAAGTTAGAAACATGCTGTGCATATATGACATTCAATAGACAGTTTAACCGTCCATGCATACAAGTGAAGTATAGTGAATGTATGTCGATGACTGTATTGTGGTCAACAAACAAATAGAATGGTCGTTTGTTTTGTGCAGGCAGCTAAATATGATATAGAATACATCAATGCTTTATACTGAAGGGTAAGAAACACATTGATTTGATTAATTGTATGGTAAAGATCAGAAGTTTCAACTCTCCACTTTGTAAAAAAGTGCGATTTGTGGTAACAATAATTAATTATTCATCGTAAGTTGATAGTGAATTAAGGAACTAGTCATTTAAACTTGGACCAACAGAAAATATAAATCAACATAATTCGGTCGAAATTCGTGTTTGAATTGGTTTCGTCTATGGACTTATATTAATTAGGGGTACCGTCGAAGATCTGAGCACTGGATAAACGTTTCGTTCTAGTATGAGACCCTTAAACAGTGTGGAACCGTGGGATGGAAAATATAATGTTTAGGATGTTAGGTCGTGACAAGCCATCAGTCAGAATCCTAATCCTAATTTGGTCAACTTTGAGTCTGGTATTTACTCCATAGCTTACTGTCTCTGATTCGGCTGATTATACGTCGGAAAACCATTAAATTTGAGTCAACAGCTAAGTTTCTATTGGTCCACTAATTACAAGCTTCTCTCTATGCCTTGCCCAAGAGTCCTAAGAGCAGCAACCAGCCTCCACTAAACCTATATTTTTATAGACGTGGTTTGTATACAGACACGACTAAATGAAAAATAACAGCTATACATAAACAAGCCTAAAGTGGAGACAGTAAGTAAGAGACTAAGATCAAAATAAGGGTTAATAAATTGTGTGGCCGTAGCTTGTGCATCAACTAAAAGCTTCCGATAAATGGAATACATATACATAGTAATCTAGTTACCGAGTTGCTGTAAGACAAAATTATAATTAATAGTAATTTGAAAAGAGCAGTCCGAACTTCTATAATATTCGTCCCCTCATAACATAGGGAAGTTGAATGAAAGAAGAACTACAGTCTCCTTTCAAACAAATAAGCACTGGCAACTGAAAAAAAAACAGAAAACTAGTTTTTAAGTCTTTTATATTTATAATTATCCGTAGATTCATTCAATGGAAGTATTTGAAACATTCAGACAATAATATTTCACATGTTGTGTTAATTTTTATAAAGTTCTCCAAGCATACAGTACTGAGTGGTTAAAGAATAATTTATCATCTAGGTATGTTATTTACAAGATTCTATGGAATTGTGAACATAATTGTGGCAGATATTGGCTTACACCAAGTTAAATACTTGTAGTAATTTTCTAGTTAAATTTGTGTCTTTAGTACTTCAGTCAAGATAAGAAGAGAGTAGTAAGCAAATGTATTTCTAGCCATAATCCTTTGACAAAAATGTAACTAATCTAGTTTATTGTAACAATATGCACTAAATTTTACTTGAAATCAACCAAATTACATTGAAATTCTACAAATAGAACAAAATAATTTCAAAGAAATGAATCATTAATATACAGTTGGCATTTTAAAGGTGGATATTTTGACCATTTCTTTCAACTATCATTCTTTTTAATGAAACTCTATATGAGATGGCATTCAGTTGTTGTATATAAAGATAAGTTTAACTTGAAAATACATATTTGGTATAGTAGAAAAATGGAATTAGTTTATTTGATTTTTCTCTCCTAATTCATGAATGATACCAGTCAAGTTTTGTTAATTAACGTGTTATGTACTCGACACTTGTGATCAACATATTTCTTCAGTTTATATCGACTTAAGTGTAAACAAAGATTCATCCAAAATTCAATTTTGTTAAGGTTTTCTATTTACAAACTTTTATGAAGTATATTAACTCGTGTTTCATCATATAAGAACTGTAACACAAAAACTAAATGCCATTAAAATCTTGCATTAGTTATAGAAAACTAAACTGCTTACTAAAGTCTTCCAGTTTAAAAAAAAAGCCTTTTTCTGTTTTAATTGTTATCAGAAAATTAATTCGTTACGTTAAATTAACTTGAATTGACTTATCGCTATACACTTGACCTTTATGGTGACATATATTCATTCAGTGATTTTTGGTAAAGACAAAATAAAAACCGCATTTTTTCTCTAATTTGTCACACTTTATAATGTAACCACATTTTTATTCAATATCTATAGTTTTTTTGTATCACTTGTTAAAAAACGATTATAATTGTTTGGATACTTATATACGAATATTCTACCGCCTTGGTTAAAAAAAAAATATAAAACGCTATATCCACCGTCTGTTCTTCAGCTTTATTGGCCACGTTCTTTGATTGAAGATTATAATAGTGTTATAACTTCCTTTTATGCCTTCCTACACTATGTTGGATTTTGGCCCGGATTATTATTAAATAATACTATTGGATTCAATCTTTCTCATTACGCCTTTGGTACAACACGTGCAGAGAAATCTTCGTTAACCAAGTGAACTCATTTGTGGTTGTTATCTCAGAGAGCGGCTTACAAGTGATATTCATGTCATAATAACTGTTATTATCTTGTTGTTTAATATATTATTTGTATTCTAACTGTAATTTGTTAACTTTTGGTTTTACTCATAGACAGACACTTAAGGTTTTACTGTTAACTCTTTTGGTATATTATTAATAACCTTGCGTATCGATATATCTTGAATAAGCTCTTTTGCTGGGATCCACCACACCTTCGAATTCAGTTCAGTTCATTGGGGATTCAGACAAGAAAACTCAACAAAATAGCTAGTGAGGTGACAAAAATGGAAACTATAAATCATTTGATTACGTTACAGCTGATGTGAACAGAGAAGTAGAGAAGCCATGATGAACAAAGGAAGCTATTTTTGTGGACATCAATTCATTTAATTCAACGTCCCTAGGTTATTTTATAAACACTGAGCTTTCTTTTGATTCATGATTCACAACCATATCCTTTTTTTATTACAAAGCTATTGTAATTTAAAAGTAGTCGTTTAAACTTCTTTTTTTTTCTACCCTAATGCCTGGTTTGGACATAAGTGTACTTTCCTAATTGCTTGTACGTTGTGGTCGTGTTACTCATCTAACTATTCATGCATTTCCTTGCACTCATCTGAATCGGGAATCAGAAATAAATAGAGTAGTGTTCCAGTTGACTCGTTTTCTCTCGCTTGTGATTACCGGAACTATGGGGTATTTCGACCATACTTTAAAAACATTTGTTCACAAAGGAAGCATTATAGTATGACCAAACAATGTTGATATTTAAAATTGTGTGCTGACTTACTTCTTCCATGAAATGTTCTGCAGTATCATGAATTCTTTGTTCAATTCTATGTATAATATTAGCAGCATCTCGGACGTTATGTAACTGAGATTGAACTTTTCCAATACGTTGACATGTAGTATCTAAATTTCTACTTATTTCATGTCGTAATTTTGCAACAGCTTCACCAAAACTTGTTACTTCATGTTCACGATGTGCATTAAATGTGCATAGAACACATATACACATTGAACAAGCTTCACAATAAAATCGTACAGTTTCACCTGGATGATCTTTACATTCAATATCACTATGTGATTGTAACTCAAATGTCGCATGATCTTTAGTAACTTTAGTATTTCTATGTCGTTGAACACATTCATCACATAGAAGTTTATTACAATCTAAACATTTCGACGTTGCTTTTGGTGAAATATTTAAACAAGCTGAACTGGCGCGTTGTTGACTACTACCGTTATAATTGTCATTAGTATTAGTTAGGCTATTGATTTCTGATGAATTTGTTTTATTCAATGGTTCACTTGAATGTCCTCTATCAATTCGACTTACTTGTGAACAAATTTCACATTCTCCATAACGTAATTGCTTCCTGTCCAAATTTGGTAACTGATGTAATGAATCAATACTTTCGTTAACAGTGGTTGATACTTGTCTACTATTTTCTATTCTATTGTTAATTCTACAAGTAGTCGGACTACCAATAATTGTAGCTGTTGATGAACCATTCGATGATGCTCTTTGTCGTAGTACTAAATCAGTTAGACCAGAAATTAGAAAATTATCTGGTAATCGTTTAACACCACCTAATGGAAGTTGTGTACGTTTTCGACATAATGGGCAAGTGAAATCGCGATAATCTGTATACTTATTATAAGTAACTTCAGCTGATATATGCTTTTCAATACATTTTGCACAGAATGTATGCAAACACGCAAGACATTTTGGATTTGTATAACTATCGAAGCATATTTTACAAACAAGAAATTCATCATGTATTTCTTGAGCTAATCGACCAGCTACTGTACCTAAAAATGGGTCATTCGCTAAACGAGCTGTATCAATTCTTGGTAGACTTTCAGCTAAAAGATCTTCACATTGTTTAGGTGAAGATGATTTAACATTAGCCCCAGCCTCATCATGATGAACTACAAAGAAAGAGAAAAAAACATTATTATGTTAGGCTGAAATCTAGCAATAATTTTATGGATAAAAAGTATCCCTTTATCAAACGATTAAAGTTCGCTACAAGCTGAATATATACACAACTCGATTCGTTCTATATTAACCCCTCATGTTGATATTTTTATACCCGATTTGATCATTTAATAACTGAATACTAGAAAATGTTATTAGGGAGTAGTAGAACTGAGACAAAAATAATACAGTTTAGCCAAATTTGCTGATTATTTAAAACGTTTTAGGCAAATTAGTTGTGAATACACTGTGCATTATTTTTTTTCGCTTTACAACTAAAATTACTTTTACAATATCATATCACAGTAACCATTAGTATGAACTACTGGGACATTAGATAACAACTGAGATTAGTTCAGCAGATATATGAATAAGTATCATTATTTTTGTGTCATTGTTTGGTAATCTCTTCTTATTTAAAACTACTTTGTCAATAATTAAATGGCTAAAATATGAGGTCATTAACTAGAGGTTATCTGTAAAGTTTTAAATTTTCATGAAATGTTTCTTTTCAATACTTTTCGTTATTCTCTTGTTCATTTAGTGGGTAATTGCTATACATTGAAGTTTAGTTTTTCCGAATGATTTCACTCGATTATGCACAAATTCAATTTATTTGATGAGAAACATAAGTATATTAATAGTAAAAACATGGTATAAAATACATCATAAAAACTAAATCTTGATTTACAGCGTCCATCAATTAAATGGATTCAAAATTGATGGAGTTAGGTGTACCTAGTGAGCATTCAAAACATTACTGCTAATCTCATCCCATGATTATTTTATAAACATCATAATTATATAAGTTATTACCTACACATATTCAATAAGGGTATCGATGGTTAAGATTGAGCTACGTGAATTATATTAAGCATAAATATTCCTACCACTCATTCTTTTATATTGGGACATTTTTAAAGGTGTAACTATTTTAATCTTAACTACAAATCATATTTAATATAGACTTCAATCTTTTTAATCTATTTTTGTACTGGTTGCTTAAACCCTTCCATAGATATTGTAGAATACAATCAAACGGTCACTTTGGCGTATGTGTATCTTGTTCAGATTCCTTCGATATTGCCACTGTATCAAAGACATTTTGATAGTGACCAGACTCAGTAGTTAAGTGGATAACGCACTAAAGACCTGAAATAAAAGGTGGAGCGTTTGAGTCCCAATGTGAACATCTATACTATGACGCAAGTGCATCCAAATGACCAGTTCAAAATAAGACGAAATGTTCATCTTAACTTTCATTGCTAAGCACTGTCCAACTATGCTTAGAATGTTTATTTTTAAAATCTTTGATCATTTACTTCATTGTTGACAAGTAGTTTATAATTTGCATACTTTGATTGGATATATGATTATGAATATTAGTTTCAAGTCCCTAACTATATATCTTTGTACTCAATCAATATAATCAATTGAGTAATGGTTCTATTTTCTATTTTGTTAGAATTTCGGAGGTTTAGTCTTATGATCATAAGTTGAGTCTTCCTTTGATTTCTTCTTAGCTAACTAGAAAATGGCCCCCTCAATGAGATTATCGATAATCTAGATTTATACTGCCATCACATAGACGAGACATTTGTAGTGACCTACTTTTATGAAGAGAACGCGATTGGTGTATTGGAAACAATCATTATTATAACCAATTGTAGTAGGTATTGTTTTACCGTACTTGTTTGTTTAACTGTACCAAAACACACACATTTTTTCCGCTGATTGTGGCCTTGCACGAATTCGGTTACGCTCAGTAACCATACTTGTAACCTGGCACGATCTCGGTGTTCTTTCGATACCACGAGATCGCCAACAAACACATCTCGACTATAGCTACCAACTGCCTTCTGATATTTGGCCTACGGGGGATCTTATCGGTTAACCGGCACGTAGTCTTCCTGTAATGGTGGTCATAGTCAACCGCGACTCGACGCCACACTACACATTCATTATTGTACATCAGAATGTTATTTCAATCTCTCTATTCATTGAATTATTCTAACAAAGCTTTTGATGTGTTACAATAGCAATAAGATATTTTGTCGGCTAGGATTTGGATATTCTCTTTGTTTATATTAAGAATAAGATTCCAACCAATCTCTACGGGGCTATGTGATTTTTGAGTAAATTAACTCCATAATGTTACTGACTTGTAAGTTCCTATAAATTTAGAGTAAAGCTATTGATGGAATCTAGGATTCTCGTTTCGTCTCACTTGGGACCTATGAGTTGGATTTTTCTAAATCCTGGTGACGTCCACACCGAAACTTGAACCTAATCACCATAGCTTCAAATGCTTGTATTTTATTCATACTAACTATCTGGAGTATTTAGTAAGAACAACGAGTAAAATATAAACCATAACATATGACTTCATCCACGGTGAAAAAATTTTCGGCTATCTAGATTCAGTAGATCAATGCATTAAGTATTCATATTCCAAACAAACACATAATAGGCCCGAGTCCTAATGTGAACAACAACACCAGGATACAGACTTATCCATCCAAGGAATCCTAAGTAGGATGAAACACACTCTTTGGATTCTAATATTAAACACAATCCAAATATGTCATTTTATGCATCTAGTCGATTAGACGTGATAAAACTTTTATCATTGATTGTTATCCTTTCTATTGACTTTCACTATTTTGTACGTTTAAGGCTGTATTTATAGACAATAATAATTACACAGATTTACCGTTTATATATAAATGACTTAGGCGGCCTGCTTGAGCATCTGGGCTACCTGTTCCTGCCATCTAGATATTTCAACAAGTTATCTATCTTTGTTTGTTTTAATATATCATTATGTCTATTAATCGCACAACCTATACTGCTGCGTTTCTGAAAAATGTACAACCTTTCGTTATTAAAGTTACAAAAAGCTCAAAAAGAGAGAATATGGTTGCTGGCAATGTACAACGAAAAGAATGTACATCATTCCCATGTTCATTTACTGGACTGATAACATCTAGCTGGCGACCACTCAGTATTTATCGCGAGGACCGACCAAGAAGAAAGAAACGGAAACTTGTTGAAATACTTTGTGCTGAGAATTCTATATTGTACCAATAATATAATATTGAATAAAGCTAATAATAATAATAATAAAAAAAAAAAAAAAAAATTATCTGATCAATAATCCTCTTCTTTTTTTGTTGCCCTTTATCTTTCACGTATTTAAGGCATATTCACTTTAAAACCATACTATTTCTTTGGATACATTTTGATAGACAATTTATTTCCTTGATAACTGTTTGGGTGTTCTCTGATAACATTTAAACAATGTTTACATATTCCTACCTCATTTGTTCAATATTATATATATATATATATATATATATATATATATATATATATATATATATATATATCAGTAAGTAAAGACAGGACGAAGAACTATGCGGATCAATGAATCATTATAGGATATTTCCCAATTTTTTTGTAGTGAAGCTATCTATACTAACTGTATACAGTTATAAAAACCAGAATCTAAAGACTAATATCATGTGTCTTCTTTTATGACAAGTGAAAGGAAAGGATCTTTATGAGAAAAGGTGTTTAATGTGTTCATTATAAATAAATATCATTTAATAAGAAGCATAGAATGTCTAGTCTAAAGATTTTGACATAGTTGATAAAAACAATATCATAAATTATATATTAATTCGTATTATGACTGTTTCAAGTTTCAATACAAATGAATGCTTATTATTAGAATGAAGATTTGTGGAGATTGTAGGGATTTTAATAGTTGAACTTGCAAGTCGATATAAGCTAGATTTTTGGTTCGAGTCCCGCATATGAGATTGTGGATGTTCACTTTTGAAGAGTCCTATACTAGGACGAGATGGCCCTCCAACACTTCCAGGTTTTTAACATCAATCGATTAATCACCTCAATCAAAAACTGATTCTTTTGTTGGGAAATTCCTGTATCTTTGTCTAATAATATCTTGTTTCTAACTTTCAGTTTCATTTCCAAAAATACATATTGACGTCATTGCATATAATATGATCAGACACACATATGGCTTGTTATTACGTAATTGTTGAATAATAATAATAGTAATAATAATCCTGAAACATAAATATTTATCATATACATTCTAGTCATTTTCAAAGTTTTTAGGTTATGTAAAAATTAAGTAGATCAATATAGTTTAGGATGCATCTAGTAGCTTGCCAAAAATTATCTTATTTAATTAATTAAGGTTGATTATATATAAACAAACATTTAATTGCAGTACATATCTATAAATTTTTCCTACTGAATATTACAATCATTGTATACGTATCTTATGCGGATGGATAATTTTTTTTAATTAAAGAAGAACTACACAATATGTACATATGGGGAAATACTTTTTGTCGGATAATAGTTAACAAATATTTAACAACATAATGTTGAATTTAGGTGAATTCTCAGCATGTATTGAAGAGATTAATTTATCACATTGATGTAAGATATTTAAAGACAATATTGATTAAGTACAATTTTAGGTTATACGATTGAAGATGAAGATTTGGAGCTCGGATAATGGTCATGTTTTGACAAAGATGTCATAGGATTATGCCTTATGAATCAAAATATTAAAAACGTTGATTAAACCAATCAAAATCAATTTCTCATAAGATGTAAAGCTTCCAATGTTTACTTATCATTATCAAATGATTTTATGCAAAGATGATTAGTGGCTAGCAGTAGAATCCAGGACGCGCGTCTCATTCTATTTGGGACTCGTCAACTGGATGTACCTGCATCACTAAGTTGATGTTCACTCCGGGACTCAAACCCAGCACCGTTCGCTTCAGACGCCATCGCGTTATCTACTTGCCTACTAACTCCTAATAGCCACCTGCTTGTGCAATAGGATGAAGTTTAAATTCATTTGGTGTTGTTTTACTTGCATCTTTCCAAATGAGACTGATCAATC